ATTGATTATGATATTATACCTGTAAAAGTGTGAAATGACAAAATATAAAATTGTATTTTCATTGATATTTTTAAAGCTACTTAATAACCGTGTGAATATAGTGTACCTCATTCTCCTTATAATCATGACAAGTGGAAAATATACTTCCTGGTCTTTTAATGTATCCAGTCACGTATAGATTCAGAATGAAAACACACAAACTAAACAAGGTAAACATTTTAACTGTTGTCAAGATTGTGTTTTTGTCAATATTTTAAAGATTAATGAATATGTGAACAAGCTTTCAATGCTTTTGAAATTCAGGTTTGCAGGTGTACATCGGAAGTTTTGATGAATATTCTTTTCAGTGCAGTATCTGTCAGACTTTGTGAATTGTTAGCTTAATAAAACATTAAACAGGTTTTAAAATTTTAAAATTTTAGATAAAATTTTTGTAAAATGTTGATTTTTATGAATTTTTATTTGATGCTGAATGTTTTGATTTTTTAGAAAAAAAAATCTGTTTATGTTTTTATCGATCAAACTGTGTTTGATGATATTTTTTTATTGTGGTAATGACGCGTCAAGTTAACCAAGCTGAATTAAACTGGTTCATTTAGTAGAAATTTATAAACCTACATGCAGGGAGTGTATACCTACAGACGGACAATTAAATGCTTACCCTATCTAATGCTACAATCCTTTAGAAACACGTAGATCTGATTTGAATTTAAATGAAGATCATTAAAAGGATACCAGTTTTGTGGTGACAGTGTGAAGGAAGTGGTTTGGAAGACTGACTGACTGTGAATGCCTGGGTCGAGGGCAGACAGCCAGGATTGGTGGGCAAAGACTAGCATGTACATTAATGTAACTGCCACTGTTTGGAATGTTGCTGCCCAATTAGTATCTGCCTGTCACCTGTCAGACCTACTGGTCAGCTGTGGTGGTCAGTCTCCTTAAGCCAGCTAGCTGGTGGTCAGTGTGTGTCTTCTGAACACTGGTGGAAAAGTTCTGTATGGGGTGAGTCTGTATCAAGGTTGTTTTGGTTGTGAAGTTTGTAAGGCTGTGTTGAATATTACGTAACTTGGCTTTATGTACATAGAACCCTACCATTGTGTAAAGTTAATCAACCAGGGTCTGTGATTTATAGCTATGTAACAGTTTCTCTAACAATACACAGACTTTCCTCAGCTGATAAAACAATACATATATATCTCACACACTTAACGCTGATGGCATTTCAATCAACCAAAATTAAATTCATTCAAAAACCTTCTTCATGTGTAGAATTTGATGACTATATGATGTTTCAATAATAATAGAAATCGATATTACATATTACGTTTGTACTATATTTATCAAACAATAGGCCCATGTTTGGTAATAAGCCCACCCATATATAAAATCTATTTCATTTTCCTGCAAAAGCCCATTCCCTTATTTGAGAGGAATTTTATTCAGTTGTACATAAAAATGTAAATTTTGAATTTTGGAAACAAAAATTTAAATGTAAGTTTTTGTGCCTCCATCCCATTTGTTCATTAAATTTATTGAGCTAAATTTAAACAATAAGGAACACACTGGTTATATAGGGATGGTGAGGGAAGGATTGTAAAGGGAGGGATGGTGTGTGATAGGATGAAGAGAGGTTGGGGACAGATAACTGGTGAGGGCCCGAGTATAAAATGTAGTGATAGGGTTACAGATTATCTGTGTCAGTTGATTAACATACATGTATTATAAAAATACCTGTACAAACCTCCTTCTTACCAGCTAGGTATCTATACAGGTGTGTTACGTTTTAATTTTAAATAAATTACAGTCCATCTTCAAACTTTGAAAGGAAGGGAGTTTCCATTTAGTTTGATTTATAGAGGGCAGACTGAGGAGCTGCGGTTTTCTGTTTGGTATTTTTATTTATTTATGCTTTGTTATAATCATTTAATTGACTTAAATTGATGTAAGTTTTAAATGACATTAGCACGGAACTTCTGATATGTAGCTATAAATTTCAGAATTCTGGTTATGTAAGTTTCTTAAGCTTATCAAAACAGCTGTAATTCGCTAGAAATGTGATACAGCTGGAATTTGTTAAAAATTTGATACAAATCATGAAGATAAAACAGGATGGGTAATTGTAGGGATCATGGTACAACATTCTAGATGTCTGCTTTGGACCAACATATAATTTCTATTAAAATGTATTTACATTTTTTTATTTTAGAAGTTTTATTGAAAATAGCATGATCAGATAATTAAATAACATTTGTCGATGGTTCTTGAAGTTTTTTGTTTTGAGACTATAAATTGAGCCAGCTGATTGTACCTGATAGAAACTGGGATGACTTGTCTGACCAAGCTGGTTTTCTCTTTATCTAAATTAAGGCCTGTACATGTCACATCCTGACTAACAAGGCTGATTAATATCAGTTGATAAAACATTGTTTCATAATTACTATTTTAATAAAATTTATAATTTTATCAATACTTTGGGTACAGATAATGGTTATATTTTTTTAACAAACAGCATTCTGGGAAATTATTATCCATTTAATTTTTTGCCGTTTTTGTCTGTGAACAGGGAGGGCGAATTTAAAATGCGGGCTAAATTGTATTACTCTTACACAACTCTTTTATATAATCCTCAGAGGGTGAAATGAAGATGAGGTGAATTCGTGTATAATGATGGTACAAAGGTGAAAATGTCCTTATGCACAGTACTATATTTTGGTATGATGTTAACGAGTGCAAAAAAAGCGGGTTGAAGTTTCTTCCATCTGATTTTGGTGTCCACTCTCAGACTATTTTTGAGTCTTCTAAATTTGATTTGAAATTATGTTGTGATTTGTTGACAGTGTTGTAGACCTTGATAGTTGAGAGAGACACATGTATGTATATATCAAGTTTTTATTAAAAATATTTAGAGATCACAAAGTAAGATTATAAGAGATATACCTTCTGAACTGTGAATGTAGTCATTATCACACAAATTATCCTGATATCTCGGGATCATACAATCTGCACCGATAGTGATTCGAAAGCCGAACAAATGATCAGAAAGAGGCTATCAGTTATCCTGTGCCTGTTTACTGCCAAACAATTTGTGGATTGCGAGATGGTGTTGTTATAAGCCCCATTACTAATATAAATCTTATCTGGCCAGGCATTTGGAGATTGACTGAAGCAGTAAACAGGCCTCCCGAACCAATACACTCTCGGGGCGGAGTTTGACAGTTGCCATTATCACAGGGAGCATACATCTTCTGGCACCAGAAAGAAATGTGTGGTCAAACTAGTACTACTAACACCAGGAGACCTACTATCAACTGACAGGACAACTGGCACCAGGTAAGTGACCAGGTGACAAGTCAGGCTTTATTCTTTGTGGGATTCTCTAGGTGGGCAGTTTCGGGATTGGGGAGGGGGTAGTTGCTGACCCCTAGGGTAGGACAAAAGTCAGGTGTTTGATATAGCTAGCTATAGGATAGGGGGCAGGACTGCTAATCTGATTGATAAGGAGGGGAAGCTCATGCTGATGTGTTGGGGATCTGAGGGGGAAGGGATAAGAATTAACCTGATGGTGGAGGATGGTGGCACTTTAGTCATGAAGTTGGAAAATGGGTAGGAGTTTTAAGATTAGGTTAGGAAGGGGGGTTTTGAAATTTCTCTTGAGGGTAGGAGTTTTGACACCAGAATGAATAGGTGGAAGGAATATAGGGAGAGATGGGGAAGGAGTTTTGACATGAGGGAAGGGAAGGGAAGGAGTTTTGGGTAGGAGATGGAATGGGAATGATTTTAGAGTTTGTTCCATTACTTCAAATTAGATTTGACAGTCGCAATCATAGCCAACTTAGTTTGAAATATATTACAGGAAAGGTTAGAAGTGAAGGTTCTGTACAGATATACATTAATAAAACACTTTAGGAGATAAACAGCAGAGTAAAACTCTGAGGAGGGACACAATCTACTCCAATCGTGATGAAGGGCTGAGTCAGATCACAGTCACCTAAATTCTTGATTGCTTGAGTTTGGGAAGGGGATGGGAAAAAGGAATCTGGCTAAAGTGACAGGAACTGAAAATGGAGAAGAGGACTGGGGAGGGGGGGGTGTCTGAAGAATGCTGGCTAATGAAATCTGACCTGTATGGTCCCAGGGGTAAGGTCAGGTTAATTAAACTAGTGGGCTGTTATAAGTACTGATAGCACAGTAAGTGATATCAGTGTGTGGTGGGTGGAGGGGATGATGATGGATACATCAAGGCACAGATTAAAACAGAGTGAATCTACTTTATTTATATAAGTTAGTTATAATCAGTTCCTCTGAGCTGACTGTTATTTTTGTTGGGTTTTTATTTTGGTGGTCTTCGTTGGGTTACTGTTGATCTTTGGATTCATTTCCTGTATAATAATTCATTTTTCATTCAATATATCTATAAAATGATAGAAAAATAAAAATGTGATATAAATTACAGTAATAGCTGATTTTGTGTACAAAATTTATCTAAGAAATTAAGTGCCAATGCATTTTTATAAAACAACAAAATTTGAGCCTCACAAAAATAGATAATTTCACAGTATCCTTGAATTGATAGATAATGAAAATATTGATTTTAATCTTTAGGATTCATGGATTTTTGAGAACTGTCTATCCATGCAATCTTGTACCCAGAAAACAAATACCTTTAAAAAAAGAAAACCACAATAATTTTAGCTCATCAAAAATGTATAATTTAACAGTAACTGGGGATGACCATGACAAGTATATATCTGGATACCTACATGTGTATCGAAGGAGAGAGTAAAGTGGTAGATTAAAGGTGAATTAGCAAGAGCATGCTACAGTAATTATAAACTTGTGGGAGGTTGGTCTTATAAATGTTTTCCTTTTGAACTTCTGTATTTTGTCTTGGCCTGACACTCTTAAGTAACAGCATTTCTCTTTTGTCTAATTAAATTATTTCTATGTAAATTTTACACCTGATTAATTATGCCTAATTAACCTGACTCTATTTGTCCAGGATGACAGTCTCCCATTCACAGGAGTATGTGTCTATACTACACAACAACAATGGAAACAGCACCCCTTCTACTCCAGACACTCCCACATCCTACAACCCAACATCAACATTAGACAAATGTGATCCATACACCGCTCCACTAGCCCCAGGCAGAGGAATTGATAAGGAGGATGAGGAGGAGACAGAACCCTGTGGATGGGGACCATTCACCCCAGGAATGTGTCAGCGTTTCCGTAGTCCTCATTGGATGTTGTTCTGGCTGTGCTGGGCTGGTGGTATACAGGTAAGTGGGGGGTAGGAGGGGGCAGAGGGGGGTATACAGGTAAGTAGGGGGTAGGAGGGGCAGAAAGGGTATACAGGTAAGTGGGGGGTAGGAGGGGGCAGAAGGTGGTATACAGGTAAGTGGGGGGTAGGAGGGGGCAGAAGGTGGTATACAGGTAAGTGGGGGGTAGGAGGGGGCAGAAAGGGTGTACAAAATAAAGGTTAGTGGAGGTAAGGATGGGCAGAATGGGGTATACAGGTAAGTGGAGGGAAGGAGGGGGCAGAAGGGGTTATACAGGTAAGTGGAGGGAAGGAGAGGGCAGAAGGGGGTATACAGGTAAGTAGGGGGTAGGAGGGGGCAGAAGGGGGTATACAGGTAAGTGGGATGTAGTAGGAGGCAGAAGGGGGTATACAGGTAAGTATGGTGTAGGAGGGGGCAGAAAGGGTATACAGTATACAGGTAAATGAAGGTTAGGACTGGCAGACAGGTAAGTTAGGGGTAGGAGGGGAATAAATGGGTTACACAGGTAAGTTAGGGGTAGGAGGGGAAGAAACGGGTTATACAGGTAAGTTAGGGGTAGGAGGGGAATAAATGGGTTATACAGGTAAGTTAGTGGTAGGAGGGGAAGAAACAGGTTATACAGGTTAGTTAGGGGTAGGAGGGGAATAAATGGGTTATACAGGTAAGTTAGGGGTAGGAGGGGAAGAAACGGGTTATACAGGTAAGTTAGGGGTAGGAGGGGAAGAAATGGGTTATACAGGTAAGTTAGTGGTAGGAGGGGAAGAAACAGGTTATACAGGTTAGTTAGGGGTAGGAGGGGAATAAATGGGTTATACAGGTAAGTTAGGGGTAGGAGGGGAAGAAACGGGTTATACAGGTAAGTTAGGGGTAGGAGGGGAAGAAATGGGTTATACAGGTAAGTTAGGGGTAGGAGGGGAAGAAATGGGTTATACAGGTTAGTTAGTGGTAGGAGGGGAATAAATGGGTTACACAGGTAAGTTAGGGGTAGGAGGGGAAGAAACGGGTTATACAGGTAAGTTAGGGGTAGGAGGGGAAGAAACGGGTTACACAGGTAAGTTAGGGGTAGGAGGGGAAGAAATGGGTTACACAGGTAAGTTAGGGGTAGGAGGGGAAGAAACAGGTTATACAGGTTAGTTAGGGGTAGGAGGGGAAGAAACAGGTTATACAGGTAAGTTAGGGGTAGGAGGGGAATAAATGGGTTACACAGGTAAGTTAGGGGTAGGAGGGGAAGAAATGGGTTATACAGGTAAGTTAGGGGTAGGAGGGGAAGAAACGGGTTATACAGGTAAGTTAGGGGTAGGAAGGGAAGAAACGGGTTATACAGGTAAGTTAGGGGTAGGAGAGGAAGAAACGGGTTATACAGGTAAGTTAGGGGTAGGAGAGGAAGAAACGGGTTATAGAGGTAAGTTAGGGGTAGGAGAGGAAGAAACGGGTTATAGAGGTAAGTTAGGGGTAGGAGAGGAAGAAACGGGTTATAGAGGTAAGTTAGGGGTAGGAGAGGAAGAAACGGGTTATAGAGGTAAGTTAGGGGTAGGAGAGGAAGAAACAGGTTATAGAGGTAAGTTAGGGGTAGGAGAGGAAGAAACGGGTTATAGAGGTAAGTTAGGGGTAGGAGAGGAAGAAACGGGTTATAGAGGTAAGTTAGGGGTAGGAGGGGAAGAAATGGGTTATAGAGGTAAGTTAGGGGTAGGAGAGGAAGAAACGGGTTATAGAGGTAAGTTAGGGGTAGGAGAGGAAGAAACGGGTTATAGAGGTAAGTTAGGGGTAGGAGAGGAAGAAAAGTTAGGGGTAGGAGAGGAAGAAACGGGTTATAGAGGTAAGTTAGGGGTAGGAGAGGAAGAAACGGGTTATAGAGGTAAGTTAGGGGTAGGAGGGGAAGAAATGGGTTACACAGGTAAGTTAGGGGTAGGAGGGGAAGAAATAAGTTAGGGGTAGGAGGGGAAGAAATGGGTTATAGAGGTAAGTTAGGGGTAGGAGAGGAAGAAACGGGTTATACAGGTAAGTTAGGGGTAGGAGGGGAAGAAACGGGTTAACGGGTTATAGGAAGAAAGGTAAGTTAGGGGTAGGGAGGGAAGAAACGGGTTATACAGGGGAAGAAAGAAACGGGTTATACAGGTAAGTTAGGGGTAGGAGGGGAAGAAACGGGTTACACAGGTAAGTTAGGGGTAGGAGGGGAAGAAACGGGTTATACAGGTAAGTTAGGGGTAGGAGGGGAATAAATGGATTACACAGGTAAGTTAGGGGTAGGAGGGGAAGAAACGGGTTATACAGGTAAGTTAGGGGTAGGAGGGGAAGAAATGGGTTACACAGGTAAGTTAGGGGTAGGGGAAACGGGTTATAGAGGTAAGGGGAAGAAACGGGTTATACAGGTAAGTTAGGGGTAGGAGAGGAAGATGGGTTAACAGGGTTATAGGAGGTAAGTTACAGGGTAGGAGGGGAAGAAACGGGTTATACAGGTAAGTTAGGGGTAGGAGGGGAAGAAATGGGTTATACAGGTTAGTTAGGGGTAGGAGGGGAAGAAATGGGTTATACAGGTAAGTTAGGGGTAGGAGGGGAAGAAACGGGTTATACAGGTAAGTTAGGGGTAGGAGGGGAAGAAACGGGTTATACAGGTAAGTTAGGGGTAGGAAGGGAAGAAACGGGTTATACAGGTAAGTTAGGGGTAGGAGAGGAAGAAATGGGTTACACAGGTAAGTTAGGGGTAGGAGGGGAAGAAATGGGTTATACAGGATAGATAGTGGTAGGAGGGGAAGAAATGTAGGGGAAGAAACGGGTTATAGAGGTAAGTTAGGGGTAGGAGGGGAAGAAATGGGTTACACAGGTAAGTTAGGGGTAGGAGGGGAAGAAATGGGTTATACAGGTAAGTTAGGGGTAGGAGGGGAAGAAATGGGTTACACAGGTAAGTTAGGGGTAGGAGGGGAAGAAATGGGTTATACAGGTTAGTTAGTGGTAGGAGGGGAATAAATGGGTTATACAGGTAAGTTAGGGGTAGGAGGGGAAGAAACAGGTTATACAGGTTAGTTAGGGGTAGGAGGGGAAGAAATGGGTTATACAGGTAAGTTAGGGGTAGGAGGGGAAGAAACAGGTTATACAGGTTAGTTAGGGGTAGGAGGGGAAGAAATGGGTTATACAGGTAAGTTAGGGGTAGGAGGGGAAGAAACAGGTTATACAGGTAATAGGGGTTACACAGGTAAGTTAGGGGTAGGAGGGGAAGAAATGGGTTATACAGGTAAGTTAGGGGTAGGAGGGGAAGAAATGGGTTATACAGGTAAGTTAGGGGTAGAAATGGGTTATACAGGTAAGTTAGGGGTAGGAGGGGAAGAAATGGGTTATACAGGTAAGTTAGGGGTAGGAGGGGAAGAAATGGGTTATACAGGGTTAGGGGTAGGAGGGGAAGATACAGGTAAGTTAGGGGTAGGAGGGGAATAAATGGGTTATACAGGTAAGTTAGGGGTAGGAGGGGAAGAAATGGGTTACACAGGTAAGTTAGGGGTAGGAGGGGAAGAAACAGGTTATACAGGTTAGTTAGGGGTAGGAGGGGAAGAAATGGGTTATACAGGTAAGTTAGGGGTAGGAGGGGAAGAAATGGGTTATACAGGTAAGTTAGGGGTAGGAGGGGAAGAAATGGGTTATACAGGTAAGTTAGGGGTAGGAGGGGAAGAAATGGGTTATACAGGTAAGTTAGGGGTAGGAGGGGAAGAAACAGGTTATACAGGTTAGTTAGTGGTAGGAGGGGAATAAATGGGTTATACAGGTAAGTTAGGGGTAGGAGAGGAAGAAACAGGTTATACAGGTAAGTTAGGGGTAGGAGGGGAATAAATGGGTTACACAGGTAAGTTAGGGGTAGGAGGGGAATAAATGGGTTATACAGGTAAGTTAGGGGTAGGAGGGGAAGAAATGGGTTATACAGGTAAGTTAGGGGTAGGGGAATAAATGGGTTATACAGGTATGTTAGGGGTAGGAGGGGAAGAAATGGGTTATACAGGTTAGTTAGGGGTAGGAGGGGAAGAAATGGGTTATACAGGTAAGTTAGGGGTAGGAGGGGAAGAAACGGGTTATACAGGTAAGTTAGGGGTAGGAGGGGAAGAAATGGGTTATACAGGTAAGTTAGGGGTAGGAGGGGAAGAAATGGGTTACACAGGTAAGTTAGGGGTAGGAGGGGAAGAAACAGGTTATACAGGTTAGTTAGGGGTAGGAGGGGAAGAAACGGGTTATAGAGGTAAGTTAGGGGTAGGAGGGGAAGAAACGGGTTATAGAGGTAAGTTAGGGGTAGGAGGGGAAGAAATGGGTTATAGAGGTAAGTTAGGGGTAGGAGAGGAAGAAACGGGTTATAGAGGTAAGTTAGGGGTAGGAGAGGAAGAAACGGGTTATAGAGGTAAGTTAGGGGTAGGAGGGGAAGAAATGGGTTATAGAGGTAAGTTAGGGGTAGGAGGGGAAGAAACGGGTTATAGAGGTAAGTTAGGGGTAGGAGGGACAAAACAAGGTAAATTTGAATATAACACTTGAAAATAGAGGAACAGAATGAAATACATGTTTATTAGGATTAGTGTAGGGTGGATAAAAATGGTTTATAAATAATTTTGAATGGTTTTTCTTGTATGACACCTAAATATCAATGTGTAATATTTTGATGACTGCAAAGTGAACGTCATCAGAGACATGACCAAGATGAAGCATATGTGCACTTAGACATACAGTGTGTGAGATGGTTATCACAGGACTTTCACACATCTATCATCTTATATACACTAATAGGGAAAGTCATTTGATGGGATGATGATAAGATCATAAAAAAACAGGTGGAATTTGTGATCTTAATTACATACTTCAGTAATAAGTATTAACAATGAAATGTTTTAGATACAATGTGTTTAAATCTGGTCATAGAATCCCGTAAATAAGTTAGAGATCAGAAGAGAAGGACTGTACAGGTAGATGAGGAGGCTGGAGGAGGGTTTTATAAAGTTTTAGGACTCAGAACTGGAGTATACTTACAGGAA